ATAAATTTACTTACATTTCACCTAGTTTTATACACCTTTTCGCTTTCCATTTTCAAATCCCTTCCCAAATCCCCTAACCAAACACAACATTAATGTTTTGGGCATCATATATATATATATATATATACATTCAAGAGCAATTATATCAGATCAAAGCAATCCATACTAAGCTTTAAGTCCCATCAAATGGGGTTGGCTACATGGATCCTTCTTTTTCATTCATTTAAAGTAGGATTCATGTCCATAAGGGATCAGAGTTGATTTTTTTACATGTTGGCTGTCGGTTACCAAATACACAACCCTCCTCCTTTGCCCTGGCCTGGGATCGGCAGAGTTGATAATCAATCCTAGCAGAGTTATTCAAGGGCAATTATGTATTAGATAATTATTCAGTTATCTCAAAGTATCAAATGACATTGTTCATGTGATGCTCTAAAACAATGATATAACAAAAAACTTTATGGGTGGGATAATACTAACCTATCTTTATTAAGTCGTGATAAGGGATGACCCACTAGTACCACATAAATAATATGTAATATGAGGCCACCTAAAAAATTTTCCCAGTACATCACCCACATAGAGAAAACTAGTGCTGCACAAAGTCTCAAAAAACTTGAGAATCAAACCAACCCGACTTCTATGTGGTTGGGTTGCTTCGTTTTTTTTTTTTTTATTACTTTGGTTTAGTTTTGCATGGACCAATAGGATTGATTCAACTTTTGATTTAGGACTTGACTAAATTAAACCAACCCAAGACCCAAACTTAGTTATAAATATATATTACATAAATCATTTATGTTGAGTTGTCGTCGTATTACTATTGAAAAATAAATACCAACGTAGACATTGATACACCTGATCTTGCCATATAAGAAAAAAATTATAACAAATCATTCTCATTCTTTAATTTCTGCTTTTGTATACTTGTATTTGAATAATATGAATGATTGTTTATAATTGTTAGCTTCTTTTTTAATTTGAAACGTTGTGTTTTGGTTTGTGTTGTATGTTAGAATGTTGAAGATGCTATGCTGGAGCTTCCTGGGAGTATTGAAGTCAAAATAATGGATAATTGTTTATGATTGTTGGCTTGTATTAAAATTTGAAGCAATATTTATTTTAGTTTCTATGTTATGCGAGTATTGTAAGTTTTGGTTTGTTTTTATGAGTTAAAACAATGGATAATTGTTTACGGTTTTTGAAACACTTTTTTTTATGATTGTTATGTAAGTTAAAACATTGGATAATTGTTTATGATTGTTGTTTGATTTGTATAAAAATTTAGTGTTTATTATTGATTGTTTATGTCAACATTTTTTTCCCCTCTCATCTATGCTTTTCATCTATTGATCTATGAACTAACTCTTCCTTCCAAACAGCAGGTATATATCACTGTGAAACAACGATTTTTAGCATTGTTGGCATTTATTTGTCTAAATCTCAAGAAATTTTGGAGGAAATGTCATCTTGTCCCCCAAACTCTCACTCGTTTTTCAATTTGACCCCTAAATTTCGATTAATATCAATTTTACACCCAAACTTATAAAATTTTGATCAATTTGGTCCTTGCCGTCACATTCCATCTACAATTGGACAAAATGTGTTGACGTGGCATCAAAGTTCATTAGAAATTTCATTTTATCCCCCCAAATTAAAAATCAATTTGCCTCCCAAACTATACCTTAAAAATCAATTTACTCCTCACGTCAACACATTCCGTCCAATTGTAGACAGAATGTGATGGCAGGGGCTAAATTGATCAAAATTTTAAAAATTTAGGTGTAAAATTGATATTAATCGAAGTCTGGAGATCAAATTAAAAAACATGTAAAAATTTGGGAGGTAAAATGATATTTTCTCGAAATTTAGGCTACTGATTAACTCTAGCTACTTTAATTTATGTTGTGTTGATAACACAAAATCTTATCATTAAATCACTTTCATTCATTATGAAAGAAACCACAACGATTATAATCAAATATCACTTAAGGCATAATTAAAAATACTTTCAGTCATAATTAAAACAACAATTACAATGGTGGGTTTAGAATATAAAGAAATAATTGTTCCATGGAGAGACTAAGGTGGGCTTGGCAATAATTTTTAGTGTTGCTCTTTTGCTTTTTCTTCAAATATAAAACAAAATTGATGTGATTTTTCTTCACTTTACCTTTTTGTGATATAAGCTATGTGTACATAATCTTTCCATCATTTGAAAATAATTACTCAATTCTTTGTAATTTATGAATTAAAATGCACTACATTTTTCGTCCAAAGTAGCACTAGTGCATTACACACGTTTATATTTGTAACTGACAGAGATTTACGTGTATATAATCTGTACCACTGGGGTAAAGTGAAGAGTATAGCTCAAAGAATTAAGAGAAAGGTACTTAATTTATAAGTGTCGCTAACAAAAGTAGTGGTGATTTTTTTTTTTCTCAACAAAGAAAAGATTTATTGATGAAAAGAGAAAGGATACAGAGGATCAGATTAACAGTTAAGAAGGATGTAAACCGACTTTAAACTTACAAAATCTAACCCTGCAAGTATTTGGCCACGAGCCAACCCAAACAAACAAAAAGAAAACAAAGGGGTCCAATACTACAACCCCAAAACAGAGCCACATAAGAGTCAAAAACAGCTATCCTTTCCTCTTCAAATTCTTCAATTTCAATCGATTCACCCATTCAATTCTATATATGAAGCCTTCCACAGAAAAAAGGCACCCTCCAGTCTTCGCCTTCACCCAAAACGCTGTTGTGAACTTGATTTTTTCGATAAGCTCCACCCTTCTAACAACAAGCCCTCTAAATATCATATAATTCCTTGAAATCCATAATGTCCACATGCAAGTACAACTACAATGAAGTCAAGAAAAAAAAATTAAAATTAGTACACCATGTGGATTTTGACAAAAGAACCAAACTTGATAACCGTCCTATCCTTGCTCAATTCTACAAATAATATGATGGCAAGAGCAAAATTTCTGTGATAACTTTCTTGCATGAAACAGATGGAAAATTCATGTGGTCCCAAAACTACTCTTGAAATGAAGGATTTTATTTGCATCAAATTCATCACTGTCTCATCACGAGTAGTTACTCTTTTAATTTTGTTGCTTTGAAGTCAGAAAAATTAATTGAATTTTATCGAGCAATACTGACAATGACCAAATTGGTTTTGATTGCATTGTCTTAGTTTGATTCACCTCCAGCTATGGCTTCATTATTTTCCAATTTCTAACCATAGTGATATATAAAAATTAAAATTAAAAAAAAAAAAAATTCTAATCAACAAATATAGCACTCAGCAACTTTGATTTCTACTTTGAACCATCAACTGAATGGAGTACTCAAATATATTAAACAATGGTTCTCAATAAACTATACTCAAACTTTATACTTACTTCTAGCGAGACAATCCAAGTAAATTGACAATTAAAAAAAAACACACACAGAGATTGTCAAAACAAGAGTATTTATGGAATTTCATATAGTTAATCCAATGATAGAATGACAAAACAAAGATGAATTCTTACTAATTCGGTGGTCATCAAACAAACACAATTTTTCTTAGTCCCATCACTAACAACCCCCATATTAACAATCCTATCCAACCTAACCCTAAAAACAAACAGGGATTTGCATGTCTTTGCCTGAATTCTGTGTGGTTTTATCTCTGTGTGCAGCACAATTAGGGTTAGGTTTTCGTTGAAGAAGATTTGAAGCTGTCTGGCCAGAAGCTTTACATTGATATCTTCTATGTTCTTTTGCTTCTTTCTTCCCTCCTTTTTTTATTTTTTATTTTTTTATTATTATTATTTTTGGGTGCACCAAAACGACTACAAAATGCATACACTCATTGCATTGCAGAGGATCTAGACTCCATAAATCTACCTTCCCCAAGTCATAAGTTCCCACAAAACAAACAAAGTTTAACAATGGATTTCTAGGAATATCTCCAAGGGACTCTTTAAACGAGATATGTTAGCTATTATAGCTAATATATTACAATAGTTATTTTAATAAAAAAGTTAAAGGCTAGCTGTATTTAAAGAGTCTTAGGAGGCTTTTTGAATAGTTTGTGGAATAGATAGGTAAAACAAAGAGTAGCGTTGGAGTACATAAATGAAAAAGGAATTAGGAAAAATAAAAAAATATATTTTCTTTTATATTTGAGCTAGTAAAAACGAAGGGTATAATTGGAATTGCCCTAACAATGGATTTCTAGTCCAGTGACATATTTTCATCTCTATATACAAGAGGTTAGGAATTTGACTCAAAAAAAGTGAAATTGAGTAATAATATTTTTGTTTATATTTGTACAATATATGACCTGTTACAATCGCCGCTTAATGACTACTTTTACATATACCCTTGGCTAAATACATAAATTGCATTTGAAATTTTTACATTAAAAAAAAAATAAAATTACAAAAGAATTAACTAGAGTCTGAACCAATCCCAAATAAAAAAATGTTGGGGAACACCTACGTCAATCTATAAAACGAAGGTTGGAGTTGGTATAGATGTCACGAAAATTCTTTTCCAAAAATATCCCAAAACTTATTAACTGTTATAAATTATTTCAATTTTCTCCCAATGTCTCAAATAATTTTCATAATTATTAGATCCAATTACAAATTACACATAATTTATGCTCACCTCTAGTGCATAGAAAAGGCGAGACTACAGTCCACAGTCCCACAACTGTATATTTTATTACCATATGTCTAATATAGTTTGTTCATATGGGAGTAAAATATCGTCTCCCAAGAACCACCTAATTCGGTTATCACCAAAATTGTCATAGAAGTGTTATTAGAGAAAATATCATTTTATTTTTTAAATTATTAATCAAAAATCAATTTAACTCTTGTTCTTTTAATAATATCAATTTTACTACCACCATTAGCTACAATTTATAATCAAACGAAAATTGCTGACATGACACCAAAATTTCATTTGAAATTTCATTTTACCTCCAAACTATTTTTAAAATATCAATTAGATCCCCTAATTTATGTTTGATTATAGACAACAATTTAAGGTAGGGTAAAATTTATGCAAAAACGAATAGTTTAGGTACAAAATTGATATTATTAAAACAAGAAGGATTGAATTGATTTTTTAGTGATAGTTTAGGGTAAAATGATATTTTCTTGTGTTATTATATATAAGCCTAATTACACTAAGACCCTCTCAACTATTAGTGAATATCAATTCACCCCCCCTCCAAAAAAAAAATATATATATATAAATTGTACAAATACACCCCTTTTGGAGGTGGTTTGAAGGAAGTCTACAAGGGTGAAATTGTCACACTTTTATAGTTGAGATGGTCAAAATGTACAAATTCATAAATAAGAGGGGTAAAGTGATATTTGCTAATAATTAAGGGGGTCTTGGTGTAAATAACCCTTACATATATAGTATGTACTCAAAATTTTAATTACAACGATTCATAACTTTTAATGCGTAGTTAAAACTAAATTGATTTATATAAGAAAAATATTGATAAAGTTTTATAATCAAATATCACAAAATTTCATAAATAAGAATAATTTGATTCATAACTAAAAACAGTAGTCTCATAATTGAAGCAACTAGTGGTGTAACTAAGAAATTAAATCAAAGAGGGCACTTATTAATTACAACATTAAAAATTTTTACAAAAATATTTCACATAAACTCTTACGATTGACTTCAAGAAAGATAAATAAATATATATTATTTGTCATTAGTATACCATGGACAATATAAATGAAAAAACGTCATGGATATGAGTTTTAAAATAAATTATATAATGACTAAGTAATTTTTTATACAAAATTTCAATAAAAATTCAATATAATAATAATACCACGTCATCATTGACATATGATATCACCAACCAATAGTAAAGAAACACATAGAAGATGAACCCCACATGTCAAATATAACTAACATTTCAATAAATTTCATATCTTCATTGAGATTAATTATATTTGCATGTCAATAATGATAAACATTAGTATTGTATTGAAATTTTCATAGATACTGATATGACTTATCGTAATATCATTATTTTCAATAAAAAAATAACCATTATTATTCTCATAATTTTAAAAATGTCGTTGACATTTCACTCTAAATAATATTTTATAATTTTTGTTTATTTAAAATATTTTCTTATGTTTACAAAAAAAAAAAAAAATCCAAAACCCAAGGGGCACGTGACCCCCCTAGACCCTCTATGCCTCCGCCACTGGAAGCAACATCAATTCATAATCAATTGCCACAAATTTTATAGCCAATTTTTTTTTATAACCAAGCATCACATGATTTTTAACCAAAATTACAAAATTTCGTGACTTTTTTTTTTATTTTCTTAACTGAGTATCCAGACTAGCTTGCACACATTTTGACTAATCTTCGATTTCATTCTCAAATCTTTCCTACTCAACAACCAGTTAGGGTCGAAGGAGAGGTTTGGGATTTGAGCTTATGAAAAAAAATTGAACATCTATTTTACTTACTAATTTGCCAACATTCTACTCTTAGGGCAAAAAAATTAATACACACTCCTTTTAAGAAATGTGTATAGTAGAATTAACCGCAAAAAAATAGTTATTTATTTATTTAGATTGTATTTAAATTTTGAATTTGAAATAAAAAACATTATAAAAAGAAGATAAATGTATATAAAATAACTTATATTTTATTCATATTTTTCTTTTTCTTCTCTGCAATTTATTTCCCAAATGTAAGATGGAAATTAAGCCTCAACTTCTATTGGCTTCATAAATTCTTGGGGAATTACACAGAGACCTTCTAAATTATTGTTAAGTATCTCTTTGACCTCATAAATTGAAAAAGGGGTAAATTACACCACTAGTCCTAATTTGAGCAAAATTTCATTTTGGTTCTCGTAGTTTCAATTTGAACCCCACACTTTTAATTTTGTGGCAATGCGTCCCTTTGTCATGCATTGTTAACATTTTGAATAGAAAAAAATCACATGCAAAACTAAAGGGACCAAAATGGAATTCAAAAAACACAGAGACTTTTTGTTCTTTACCCCAACTTGCTCACGTGACACGTGTTATGGCACTCGGGTGCTACTTTGGAAGTGGGGCCTCACGAGTCACATGATGAAGTAAAGACATCAAATTTTGATAAAGCTTTTTTTTTTTTTTTTTTTTTTTTAATATATGGATTTAGATGAACTTCGATATAATTTTTTTAGTACAAAAAACTTTGGTATAATTTGTTAACATACGTCTTCAAGCTACATGTTAAGGAATTAAAAAATAAAACTTAAAATTTTATAAAAACAAGTGAAATAAAAAAATATATGATCTTTCTAAGTTATTAAACACATGTTCCAAGAACACATAAGTTAAGGAGATCTGTATGTGTACGCGGTACTTACCAGGTAGAAACATGATTGACTTTAGAGAAGCAGTACAAGCGAAGGACTTCACATGAGGTTTTAAAAGATTTTACAAAAAGTGTAAGTTACTCTATAAATGTCTCAATTCTCTTTTATTACAAAACATGCATTATTAATAACTTATCTTTTAATGTTCAAATAGTTGAAGGAAAACTCTGAAGTGTGCAATGCATATAGTATGCAACGCATATACATATTGGTGGTATCAATCATTTAATTTTATTGTTTATTTTATGAATATATGTGGTTCTAGCCCGAGCCCAACCCAAGCTGCTGGGCTAGGGCTTGGGCCATTGTTTTAAAGCTTGGCCCGGCCCGTTTGGCCAAGCTCATGGCCCAACTCATCGGCCCACTTAAGGCCCGACCCTCCCGAGGCCCAATGTATTTTTTAACAAAAAATAATAAAATTTTAGTAAAAAAATTT